ATAATTACTAACTTTTACAAATACTCCCGCAACACACAATTTTGTCCAAGCTCATAGTTTAGTTGCCTGTTCCCAATAAGCCCTCACATTTCTTGGTGATAGTTCAATAAATCTTCCAGACTGAATACAGTGGACCACCAGAGGTTTTAATTTAATAATCACTACACACATATGTTCTGACCATCCAGCATGGACACAATGTGATAGCACACAGCCAATGAAACTACCTTTTGCCAAAGAACCAGACATATATGATGATTTCTATTTCCCACTGTGTGTTTTTAATCTGACAAATGTATTTATGGCTTCCCTAAAAACTTGGGCCTCTTAAAATGTAAACACTGACAGGATATTTGGTATTAGTGAACTGTTACACATTTATTTAGGTGTGATAATACTGCTGTGGGGGTTTTGGTGGGATCTGAGGATTTTTGGAGTCATTATGGTTTAGGGATTCATACAGAAGCATTTCTATATGAGAAATACGGATGAGATCATATGTGGGAGAGAAAACAGATGAAACATAGAAAATACAAGATGAGATATGAGTTGGTAGTTCTCAAACCTGGATGTTGGGTGTTCTGTCTACTTCTGTATGTTTAAATTTTTCTACAGAATTTTAAGTAAACTTTTAAAAAAGTTAGACCTTTTATACCTACACATAGATATACATATGATATTTAGATATGAAGGTGGCACAGTATTCAGCTAACCAAAATAACTTGGATTTTGAATCTAAAAAAGTAGCAGAAAAAAATAATCAGAGCAAAGAAAGAAATGGTATTAACTGTACATTTTGAACTTGGTCTTCTTTTAAAATTACAAGTTTTTAAGCACAAAATAAATTAAAATGAGCACATTTTCTCGCCAAAGCCAAATAAATAGATATATATCACAAGCCCAGTCAAACACCTATTTGTTAAAAATAAAACCATCAAAAAGAACTGCATAAGTGATATACATATATACACACACATATATCCCTACTTGTCCTCGAAAAATGTTCGTGGGAATCTAGTGGCCCCTCCTGATTCCTGAGAGGGGCCACACCACAGCCCAGGATAACCATGCAGAAAGCAGAACCACTTGTAACAGCTCTTACAAGTACTTTCCTAAACCAACCACAGACAGCAATGATGAACCAAATTCCAAACAGCATGTTCTATTAGGAACATGCTGCCATTTCAACTCCTATTTTAAAGCAAGAGAGAGAGACAGAAAGAGGTCACACTGTACGGTAACCACCCACCTTGGCAAACTTAAAGCCACAGTTGGAATTATTCTAATAAGTGGTGAACCTCAACACTCAAAATTTTGGCCAATAAAGCACCAATTCTAGAACCAGAGAGTAACTGATTCAATCGCTGACATCAAAATCTATGACCACCACCAATATTACCATCACCATCACCACCACCTCCACCACCACCACCAGTACCTCCCTTACTCCCAACCACTGGCCACCATCCACCACCATCACCACCAGCAGCCCAACCAAAAGCAGTTCACACAGAAAAGGACAACACTGATAGGAAGCCTTCCTTTGAAAACAAAATTTAAACCTGACACCCAAACACATCAACAGAACCAGCAATCTAAACCTGTACAGTTACTGTATATGAGATTTAAGCTGTCATTAACAAAGCTCGCATCTGAGCATTTGAAACAATACCATAATAACAACAACAAAAAAAAAAAAAAAGGAAAGGGAAAAGTTTCCTTCAGGAACCTCAAACCATCACATCAGGTGCATGAAACACTATAAGCCAACTATAAACCGTATCTTGGTTTTGTGCTTAAGAAAGGTGGACCAACTCTGCAGAATCTCAAAGCCTTCTGTGTGTATGTGTGCATGGTGTGGGGGGGGGTGGGGACAGGGAGGTGGGGGAGGAAAGAAGGCGGTTAAATTTATAGAGGCCAATGACCAATACCACACCAAAGGAGATAGGTCCAGGCAAAGATAGTTTCCCCCTAACCCCTGGACAGTCTCCCCCTCCCTCCCTTTTCCCCCACACTAGGAGCCAGTTGGCCGGAAGGAAAATGTGCATTTGGAAATCAACGCTGCAGGTGCCCAAGGAATAAAGAAAGAAATACACACACACAGACACACACAAAGCCAATCACTTAGAGAGAGAAAAAAAAAGAAAACACAAAAAAAGGAAAGGCAGAGGGACAATTGGTGACAAGCCCTTCAGACAGCAGCTAGGATTTTATTCTTTCCTCCCACCAGTCTTCCCTGGTGTACCTTTTTCTGTCCTTTAACTAAATTGCTCATGTACACACACACATGTGCCTATGTATGTGTATAGATAATATAATTAACCCCTTCTGTAACAGAGCCCCATAACAGAATACAGAGAGCTATTCCACCCTTCCCTCTTCTCTCCCCTCCTCCCTCCTTTCTCCCAACCAGGAGAAAACGCCCCCTTCCCCAGCTTCACCAAAAAAAAAAAAAAAAAAAAAAAAAAAGAATATGGGGGGTAATGGGGGGAGGCGCAAAGAAACCACAAAACCCCATCAGTCTCCGGTCCCGAGGACACCCGAGAAAGGTATACACTACACAGACACACACACACACGAATATATGACTCTGTAGAAAGCACACAGAGAACCGTCCACAGGCGCCCCAAACCCAGCAAAGAGACTTCCACCAGCCAAGAAGCCATGATTGGGGAGGGAGAGGAGGAAGAAGTGGGGGCAGAGCTCTCCGTGGAGAGGGGGCGCATTGTTGTGATGCCTGAACCCCTTTCTTTCTGCCCATCTGCTGTGGAGGGGGTGCAGGGAGGGGGCGCAGGGGACAGGCGAGCGAGAAAACGAGGAAACGAGGAGACCAGGCACGGCTTTGCGACTCCCTCCTGCTGCCTGTCTGCCCGCGCCCCCAGCTCCCCCCACCAACAATAAGACCTCAGCCTAGACAGACAGACAGACAGACAGCCCGGAGCGCGGCGGGGGAGGCAGGAGAGCCGGGCGCAGCCGAGTGGGGTCGTGCATAAAGGGAACCCGGGGGGAGGGGGGTCCCCCTTACCTCCAGCGCTTCAAAAGTGACAAAGCTGGTCATGGCAAATCCATCAATGATGTCCTCTTCGGCCGAGGTGGACTCTCTCCGCTTCCTCCGCGGGGGTCTGGGCCGGGACGGGGCGGAGGACGGGGGCTTCCCATTGTCTTCCTTGTCGGAGCCCGACGACGAGGCGAGTGAGAGCGCCCGGGTCCGGCCAGCCCCGCCGCCGCCGGCCGCGCCGGCCCCCAGCCCGCCCCGGGAGCGCCTCTCCCGGTCTCGCTGCGACCGCGACCGCCGCTTTTTGCGGAGTCCATGGCCCCGCGTCGGGCCATCCATGGCTCTGCTGCGCCGGGGTCTCCCCGCTCGCCCGCCACAGGCTACGGCCGCGGCCACACAAAAAAAATTGACACCGAGCCCTCCCTCCCCTTCACGGCTTCCCTCCGCCCCGAGGAGGGCGCGGGGGAGACGGCGGCCGAAAGAAGGGAGAGAGGGGAAGAAAGAGAGGAGAAAGAAAAGGGGGAAGGGGCGGAGAGAGGGGAGGAGGGACGGGGAGCGAGGGCGAGAGGCGAGGAGCCCAAGTGTGGGGCTCCCCACAGCACCGAAGGTCGGAGATGCCTGGGAGCAGCGCCGAGCAAAGTAATGGCTGAACACACAGGTCTCCTTTAGAGGAAAAAAAATAACTCACCAAGCAGGCAATAAATCAGAATAGCGGAATGCTTTGATCAAGAGACTGGGAGGCTCCGGGGAGCCCTCCCCGCGGCCATTCTCCGCCGCGCCCCCCGCCCCCCGAAAACGCCCGCGCCCCCCTCAACCCGATCCAAAATCGGGTCCGAAAAAGGTCGCGGGAAAAGTGGGGGCAATGAACTTCACCCGCCCCTCGCGCAGGAAAACACCCCCGCCGCCTCTCACACACGCCTCGGAGAAAACTCACTCCCAGTCTCCCTAATTTTTAAGAAATGCAGCCAGGGGAGGCCGGGGCTCCGGAGCGACCCAAAAGGGGCGAGACCCCCCAGAGAGGGGAGCCTAATAATGCAATCATTAGAGGAGGAGAGGGCGAAACTGCGAGCGGCGGAGGAGAAGGGAGGCGGAGGAAGGGAAGGAGGATGCTGCTGGAGCAGTTGTGGGGTTTGCTTTTCGGTCTTCGAGGGGGGAGGAGAGCGAGATGAAAGAAGAGAAGAAGCAAACCCTGTCGCTGCCACCCGCCCCCCTCCTCACAAAAATATTTTTTCCAGTCCCAAAGAAGAGGTCACCCTTCCTCAAAAAAGGGAGGGGGTGAGTCAGTCAGTCGATGAGGAAAGCAGAAAGAAATCTCCAGCGGGAGAGACACCGGTGTGCCGCCGCCGCCGCCGCCGCCGCTTCTCTCGCCGCCCCGCCTGAGGGAGAAGCGCAGCCGGGAACGCTGCTCTCGCCGCCGCCGCTAACGCTGCCGCCGCCGCCGAGAAAGCCCCGAGCCGGAGGGTGCACGGCGTGTCCCCGGGCGGCTGCAGCGGGAGCCCGGGCACTGCCCCATCCTCCGCCCGCCTGCCTGCCTCGCGCAGCTCCCGCTCCTCCCCCTCCGCGGCCGGCCCACCGCCGCCGCCGCCGCCGCCCGCCTCAGCCCAGCCCCGCGCCCGCCCGCTCGCTCGCTCGCTCGCTCGCTCGTGCTTTCGCTCGCTAGCGCGCTCCCGCGCACCCGCCCTCCCCGCGCCTCTCTCGGCGCGCGCTCCCGCCCCCGCGGCCCCGGCCGGCGGGATCACGTGGACGGCTGGGCTCCCTCCTCCCCCGCCCCCTCCCCAGTTGTAGAGTGTGTAGAAAGCAAAAGGCTGGGGGCTGGCCGCGCTCGCAAGCCCAGGGCATGCGCGCTGGGGCGGCCGGGCCTGCGCACTGGGGGCGGTGGGGAGTCGTGAGGGGCGGGGGCGGGGGCGGGGGCGTGAAGGGGGCCGCCCGCGTGGGGTCGGCCGCTGCCGGGCAGAGTTGGCGCGCCAGGGTGTGGAAGCAGCCGGAGGATCCCGCCTGTCGCAGCGGGGACGCGTGCGGCCCCCTGCTCCCAGGCCACTTCGCGCGCGTGCTCCACATCCTCCTCGGGACACTTGTCCCCGGATCCCCTACCCCTGGCCGGCCCGAGGCCGCCTTCTCGGGAAACCCCCCAGTCCCCAAGGGTGTTTTCCCTTGGCTACCTGCGCTGCGAGGGGAGGAGGGAATTCAGAGAAGGGGCACAAGGGGGGCGTCCCTGGGAGGGGGCGCGACTGGAGGAGACAGAACTGGGAGCGGGTGCCAAAGCGCGGGCCTTTGCTCCGCCTGGGCGCAATGGGAACACCAACTGGCAGAGTTGGAAACTTTTCCCCCACGTGGCACCACAGTGCGTGGCCGAGTGACCCCGCGCCCGGATGACCGCTGGGATCCCCGCCTCGTCTTCCAGCGGGGGACCTTGGGATGCACGGGCGGCTTCGAATCCGGGAGCGCGAGGCCTAGCAGCCGGGGGCTGAACTTGAACCTCGAAGGCGGCTGCGGGCGAGGGGCGGGGCTGGAGTGGCCGGACCGCCGCCCCAGCTCAAGGACCCGTTAGACCCGCAAACCGCAGTCCCTGCCCCGCGGGCTTCCTTTACTTTTTGGGAGTGGGGCGGGGTGGGGGGGGCTTCCCTGCTTTTTCCACCACAGCCGCTTCTCCCGCCGCAATGTGGCTGATGCTTATAAAAAGTTGTATTAAAGAGCTGACTGCAGCCGAGAATCGATCAACAAAAACGACCAGCCTCTCTGGGTAAAATAGCTGTGCGTTTTTCAGGGCACTGGAATTGATCTATACGTATCAGAAAGACACCGACAGCCCGCTCTTAGCAGCTTCTTGGATGCTCTTCACTTTCTGTCCAGGCACATAAACACCACGGCACCAACCCTCCTTCCTCCCTAGTAGCCCATACTTGTGGAGGAAGAAAAGGAAAATAAACTGACATGTATTAATTACTCACAATGGGCCAGGCACCGTGCTACAGTGCTATGTATATGATTTCGCCTCTTTAGAATACAAATCTGCACATTTTATTAGTATTAACTGGAAGGAGGGTGGTAGAGAAAACAGTAAAGACGTGTTTTCTCTCACAATCTGACATATCTATGATTGAGTGATTGTTTTTCATTTAACAATTATTAGGCCTTACCAGGCTTAGCAGGCACAGTTGTAGGTGCTGGGAATACAGCGATGTACAAAACAGAAAAGATACTGCTTCTTGACGTTCTAGCAGGCAATTGTCATTAATTCCTAATAACAATTTAATAGTTTGTCGTTCTTTTAAGTCACACTTCTTCAACTTCCCCATTTCTGAATCCCAGGTCTGGATCTTTATGAAATCTGATGGGAAGATGGGGTTGGGGGGACGGTGAGGGGCAAGTTGCCAGGAGCAGGAAGGAACATCCACCCGACTGTGACTAAGATGAGCTTTATGCCAGTCCAGGAAACAAACCATTTGACCTTAGGCAAGACTTTTAAATGACTAGTTTTTTCATCTGTAAATCAAAGAGGTTCAATTAAATGTTCAAAATGTTCCTTTTCAGGTCTATCCATGGCCTTCTCAACAGATGACTTCAAGTTGATTTCGTGCTTTATTTCTTAAGAATAGTGACTAACCTACGGGATCTGATTCAATTTATTAGGAACACAGTGCCACCTTCCAAAATTACTTACCTAAGAGGACTGAGCCTGCTGTCCCTGGAGCAGTTAGCTAAAACAGTGCCTCAGTACGGAGTGTACCTGTGTTAACTTCTAGAGTGCTGTTTCCGGCAGCTGCTGAAATCCACGCTGAGGTTATCAAGCTCATCCTACAAAATAAAGCAAGTTCTTTGCAATTTAAAGCAAAAATCTGGGCTCATTTTTAGAGTTTTGGGGGATGTGAAAGTTGTCGTAGGTAAGATTCCAGGAAAGCTAAGAACTAATGATGCAATTACAGTCACTTTCAACAACTTTGGGGATTGGGTTGAGGAAGGTGTGAAATTGGGAAATATAATAAAAGGCATTATATTAGTGACTTTCTAGAGTAGCCCTTGGCAGTCCTGTCTTTAAAGAGTAATAACTGGAAAAAAAAAAAATGGATGGTAATACGCTGCATCCAAGAACCTTGCCTCTGGTGAGGGTAATTTGCAAACGCATTTTGGGATAATATTCAGGATCCAAGTATAATCCTCCCTGGAATTAGCAATGCCTTTTGGGTCAGAGTTTCATAGGTTTCTTCCATCATACAATTAAAATTGTTTTTGGATTATATTGTCCCTATTTGTTTGTAATTCTCCATTTTGCCTGTGTTTTAATTGCTAATGATTAATAACTGCCATATAATAAGCTAAGCATTTATTATGTTTCAGGTACTGTTCTAACTGCATTAAAATAATATCTCATTTAATTCTCATAAATTTTGAGAAAGGTTTTATTATTCCTGTTTTACAGTTGAGTAAACTGTAAAAGTTAAGCATATTGTCCAGGGTGCCTCAACTCCTTAGTCATAAGCTCAATTTGATCTGAGTGATTCCAAAACCTGTTCTCTTAATGGTTATGCTGAAATGCCCTTCTTAGAATGATTCCTCAAGAAGTCAAATGCTATGTATATAGTACAACCACTTTGGAAAACTGTTTGTCAATATCTGTTAAAGGTAAACATATGAAAACCCTATGGCCCAGCAGTTCCACTCTTAGGAATATACCAATGTCACATGTGTGCCAAAATACTATTAAATCACTCAGAGCAACCCTATTCATAAATAACCACCAAACAGGAAATAACCCAAATGGTCATAAGCAGTAAAATAGGTAAATAATTGGTGGTATAGTCATACAACAGAGTACATTCTACCACACTAAGAATGAACAATCTGCTTCCAAATGCAGTAAAATATATGAACCTTACAAATATGCTAAGTGAAAAAAGGGAGATGTACAATTGCAGGACTCCATTTATATAAAGTACAGAAACAGACAAAAGTCATTGATGCTATTCAAACTCAGGATAGTGGTTACCCTTGAGAGAGAACTGATGACTAGGAGAGAACACCAATCAGCTTCTGGGGAGCTGGTCGTGTTGTTTCTTGATGTGGGTACTGGTGTGTTCAGTTTGTGAAAATTCATTGAACTGTACTATTGATATATGCATCTCCGTGTATGTAAATTATGCTTCAATAAAAAGCTTTAAAATGCTGTGATATATAAATGCATGTTGAGTATTGCTTGTGTACATATGAGTACCAATATAATACTTTTTTTTAATGATGACGCTACCCAATGCTTATCAATAGTCAAATAGATAAATAAGATGTGATTTATTTGGGACATAAATGAAGCTGGAAACCATCATTCTCAGCAAACTAACACAGGAACAGAAAACCAAACACCGCATGTTCTCACTCATTGTGGGAGCTGAACAATGAGAACAAATGGACACAGGGAGGGGAACATCACACACTGGGGCCTGTCGAGGGGTGGGGGGCAAGGAGAGGGAGAACATTAGGACAAATACCTAATGCTTGCGGGGCTTAGAACCTAGATGACAGGTTGACAGGTGCAGCAAACCATCAGGCACATGTATACCTATGTAACAAACCTGCACGTTCTGCACATGCATCCCAGAACTTAAAGTATTAAAAAAAAAAAAAAAAGACGTGGTTTAGTCATACAATGCTATTTGCCGAATTTGTGCCCACTCTTAGCCATCACCTCTCTATCAAGGGTAACCACTATCCTGACTTTTAGTAGCATAAATGACTTTTGTCTGTTTTTGTACTTCATATAAATGGAATCCTACAATGCATTTGCTGTACAATGGAATACCATATAGTAAACCAAGATGAAGCATAGCATATTATCAGATTTCTTACTGAGTAGCATGAAAGTTAAAGCTTAAACTTGAAATGGCCAGTATGAATGAACTCATAATTCATACCAGCAAAAGCTTAGGTGAATCCTTTGCCCAAAAGATTATAGTTGATAAAGAGTAAAGCTAAAGAAATAATTCCAAAAGAGGTTGCCTCTATAGTAGGGAAAACACTCAAGTGGTTCTGGAAAACACAAAGGGAAAAACTTACATCTGTGTTCAGGAATAAACTACTTAACTCAGGAGAGCCTCTTCAGTTGTGCTATCTTTTATCTGAATCAATGATTAATACTCAAACTACATCTTGAACATTCAACCTTGACTAGTCAGAGAATACTATTATAGCTCAGTGATTGAATTGAACTCCAAGCCTCACACTAGTAAAAGCTATTTTTGTATCAGACTTTCTAAATCGCTAAATTTTTATATCCCTCTGTCTTGCACTTTGTACTCTGCCAACATGGTAATTATTAGCACATCATTCTTGATATTACATACCGGTTTGTAATATTTGAATTTAATTTATTAAGAAAATTGATTTTAACTCAAGGCAGCTAAGGTTTATGTTTTGGTCATTTATAACTTTCAGTTATTTTGTGTGCATTCCTTACTGAGACCAGGGTAGAACTGAGGTGGTTAATGGAGCTATCTCTAAGCCATTTCCAAGTGAGCAAATAACGAGACTAACACATTTAACATCCCTTCTTTAACCCCCATAAGTTGTTTTTAATAATAACTATTCCTGGGGTGAAGTGATAACTTGCATTAACTGACAGGTAGCCCATCAGCAATAACATTGTTGTAACTTTGCCCTAATTATCACCTGCTGTTTTAATTTTTTTTTCACGTTGGAAGTTGTTTTTCAAACTGCAGTTTTATTGTTTAAAAAAGGGGGGAGGAGGAGATGAGTGGTTCAATTTTCTAAATGTTGTGTTTCCTTCAATAATATTGCACGATAAACTTTCATCATCTCTGCAGGTGTCTCTGATGAATGACACATCGATCAACTCATATTCTTCAGACTCTGCCATATGAAGCCAATGAAAGATGCCTGCTGGTGACCAAATGATGTTCATGTAAAACGGCCGTTCTGGCAAATTTAATAAGCTTTAGATTTCTTTAAAAAACCAACCAGTATTTCTGTCCCTTCTCAAGGCAATGTTTTCTATTTGAAGTTTCACTTGACATGACCAGGTGGGAAAATTGATGAATAGTCGTAAGAAAAAACTTTAAATGACTCTTTAAAGCTACCAGTGAGAGATCTCAGTATTTATTACTGATCATGAGTCTGACGATCAATTCTTCTAATAGATTTGGTAGATGACTTGTGATGAATTGTGATTTTTATTTTTATTTGAAGAGCAGTATAAATCTAAACTGGTCAGACTCAGATAACATCCCAGTTGAAGAAATTATCAACCCTTTGGAATTATGTAAAAAAAAAAAAAAAAAAAAAAAGTTATAGCCCAGACCTAATTGCATGCTTCTATTTACAAAGCTTAGTATAATAATTATTTTGTATTTCTGCTGTGTTCAAAGCCTTTCATGGTCTTGCCCCAGTAATCTTATCAACTTCATTTATTGTAGTATATATTAATATATTTCTATGCATCCTAGCTCCTTCCCAGAAGAAACCCACACCTTTGCTCATGCTGGTCCAGCGTCCTACAATCTCCTTTCCTGCCATCCAGACTTGCTGAATTTCCACCCATCCCTCAAGACCAATTTAACCATTAAGGCCAACTCATCCAGAAAGCTTACTTTAGTTATGACTTCCATTCAGAATTAACAGCTTCTTCTCTGCTTATGTGACACTTTAATTATGAATATTTTAATGTGTTATTAAATATTTCAAAATAATATAATGAACAATCATGTACTCCCCAGTAGCGTAAGAAATAAAACATTTCCAAAATACTTGAACCCTCCTATGTATAATACTGATGTCAGTGGCTGCTTCCATCATGCCTGCTGTAGCAGGGAAGCACAGCTGGGGCTGCACACTCCATGGAGCAACTGGGAGCCCTGTCCCTTTTGAGTTGGGATAGGAGCCCCCGGAGCCGCTGCAGCCACCCAAACCACAGCCGCAGACCCAGGCCTCCTGCTGTACCGAGCAAGCAAGGGCCCCACCCTCCTGAGTGGGGCTACAGCCACCCAAACTGCAGCTGTGGATCCCAGCCTCCCTGTGCTCTTGAGGGAGCCAGGAAGGGGCAGGATCTACCTTCCTGGGTGCAGACACCCGTGGTTGCAGACCTGGGCCTACTGCTCCAGGAAAAAGCAGGCAGGAGCAGGGGACATGCCCCTTCTGAGTTGGCGGGGCAGGAGCTCTTGGGAGCAGCTGCAGTCGCCTTCCCAGGTGCACAGGACCAGGATTTCTCTGCAGCCTGCACCCTCAGGTGCCCTAGGAAGGATCCCCCCACATCTCACTCCCTGCAGGCTTAGGGGTATCTACTCCCACTGTCTGGCCTCTTTCTGCTCCCAAATCAGAGCAAGGTTGGAGTCAAGCCTTGGGGCCAGGAATGGCAGTAGTAGGCAGACAGAGTTCTGGGCAGAATGGGGCAGGGTCCCCAGTAAGGCCCCACCCTCAGGCCAGGGAGGGCTTGAAGGCTGGGACTAGGTTGTCAGTCCCTCCAATGGAAGTGGGGACTCATGGTGCCTCTTCCATGGCCACCCATGGCCACCGATGGGCCAATCAGTAGGCACGTCCTCCTCTCTGAGATCCATAAAAGCCCTGGGCTCAGCCAGAGCAGGGTAGAGGACGGCTAGAGGACGAACAGGGAGAGATAGGGATGGGACGACCAGCTGCAGAGAGAAGTACCCTCTCTGCTGATAGCTGGAGACAATGGGGTGACCAGTTGCAGAGAGGAGTACCCTCTCTGCTGAGAGCTGCAGATATCACCTGCCGGCCAAAAGGAGCTACCCTCTCTGCTGAGAGCTTCAGAGACCTGCAGAGACGTTGGAATGACTTGCCCACAGTGAGGAGGCCCACCCTCT